ACAGATCTGAAGGATTGACTGTCAGCTTGCCTGTCCCTGAAATTCCTCTCAGGCTCCTCTATCGGGGCCTGTCAGGTATGCTAGTATTCCAAGAAAAACAGGGAACTTGACCAGTTAGTTGGCACTGGAGAGTCAGATATCCCTGTAGTCCTGTTGTCCAGCCTGTAGAGAAACTCTTGTTCTTTGGGAGGTCTCTGAGTTACGCCACTCCTTCCATCTGATTTGCAGCGCATGAATGTCGGCTATCTTCCCATTGACTAACCACACCGTCTTGAACTTGGAGATTAGTTCTTGTTGCTTCTCCGGGTTCTGCTAAATCTGGAGTTTGACCTTCTTCCATTGGCGTCGAATATCCGTCTCCATAAAGAATCTTGTTGCTGCCCAGACCTGCTCCGCCTGATTACTGGACTTGTCAATGGTTCTGTTGCACCTCTCCTTCCAGATGACCCATAGAGTCACTTTCCTGATTATTCCAAACCATGTGCGTTCAGGCTTATGGAAATGGGCTGGGATGTTAGTCCATAGGAGAAGCTGATTGCATCTTTCCAACTCCTTCTGCCGCCTCCATTTTCAACCTCTTCACCTCTGAACTGGCTGCCTCTGCAGCCTTCCTCGCCTCCTCAACTTCGTGTTGAATCAGACCTTCGGGGCCCGTCCCTTCACTGATTGAAGTAGGCCCCATTCTGTAAGGCTCTTTTCGAATGACAAGATAAACGCAAAAGTGTTCAAATGCTGAAGACCATTAACTAGTCTACTCAGATATGGAATGTGGTGCTGATTCCCAACCCGAACAAGTTAGAGGACTTTATAGGCTCATGGGAATGGCACTGACCACCAAGACCGACCAACAGGGTTGTACTTCCAATGGCAGTCTTAACTGATCTGTGACCTCCTGTTGATGGGGTCACTTGTCAATCCCAACTCTGCATAGGACTGTTTTCAGGTGCAGGGACTGACAACAGTGACTGGCACCCAATCGCACATGGACTCAACCTTGACCAGCGAATATCTTCCCACAGAAAATTATTTATTTTTTAGAAAAAACAAATAAAATAAAAGTGGAATACTCAGATTACCGTTCACACTCAGAACCCAGATAATTAGAGTTAAACTGTGCTGTTTAGTGGTATGGGGAATACGGCAGGCTAGTGCCAAATGTCAAAAGACAGTATGAGAGGTTATGGGCTCAGCCCAACAGCTGAAATCACACTTCTGATTATTCAACTTGTCATGTATGCAAACAGCGAAACAGCAACTGGCGACATGCGCCCACACAATACTCAAGATATTGTAACCAGATATGAGTTCTCTTCAACTGGCTATGGCGACTGGGCGCCCACACAACTCACTGTTCGCACTCTGGATCACCCTGGATGTCCCACACCCAACACTCAGTATCATACTTCACACACCACACATGCTAGGCTACAGCTATGGCAGCGCTAGCTGCCACTACCTATCGCTGCACTCTACTCCTCTGCCCACTTCGTCTTCGGGCAC